GCCGAGAGACATAGTCCCTCCAGCGCGGAGGAGGCCCTGTCTAAGGTAATATGCTAATAATGCAAATTCCTTTTAAAGCCACAAATGTTTTGACGCACACACATTCTATGATTAGGACCCTCGGCCTGCAGCAGTAATGTCGTGGAAGCAAAAACAAACCTCTTTGAGCAGAAATGGATAAAGAAAAGGGTATTTTGAATGGCAAGTTCAACTTCAAAGCCCTGCCACATGGTTCTCTTGACAAGACCAAACTTATTTGCATTTATTGTCGATGTGAAATGAGTTACCACCGGAGTACACTGAGTCTTAAAAACCATTTGCTGGCCAAGCACACAGCTGATGCAAAGAGCCGTTCTCCCCCTCACCAAAGGCAAGACACATTGGAGAGTTTGCAACGGAGATGCCTGGACAACTCTACATGCAACAAACTTCCAACAGTAATAGCTAAATGGGTGGCTACAGCTTGCAGGCCAATTACCACTGTGGAGGACGAGAGTCTGCTTGAAACAGTTCACATCACGTATGAATTGCCTTTGAGAGCCACCACTGTAACCATAATACACAACTTATATGAAGACGAGAAAGCTAAAGTGGAGGTGGTGCTGGGACAGAAACACTGATGCATGCACTGGAGACTACTGGACTTCTCTCAGTAATCAGTTACAGAACCGATGGTAGCCATCTGCGGCACCAACTCAACCAATGGCTCTAACCCATGGGGGCAAGGGGAGGGAGGGGGGTTCAGTGTCTCAGTGTCTTGCCCAAGGGCACTTCGACATGTGGACTGCTGGCACCGAGATTCAAACCTTCAACCATATGGTTGGGAGACGACTGCTCTACCCACTGCACCACTGTCACCTAATAATTTATTTCACTAACAGCACTAATTTATACACATTTTATATTGATATTTGTTTATGCTAACATTTACAATGTATATTTTTATACAGTAAATGTGTAGAAACTAAGTTCAGAAAACGCTCAGAGGTTCCAGAAGGATGGACATGGATGTCTGTTGTTGGCTAAGATCCTCACCAATTTTCTTACACTGATGCAGTAGTCTTGTGCATCCAGTGTCACCAAGTTCTGCAGTTTTTCTCGCTGATTTGCAAAACAGCTATTGAGATATAAAAGGGTTAACTATGGTGGCATTAAATGAAAATAAAATTTCTCACAGTTGACAAATTCTTATTATCTCATGATATGCTGGCCAACATTAGAAACACTACAGTTCTATTTTGTATGTCAGTGACATGAGCTATATTTTTACTCACTGTAATGTCCAGCTGGTCCAAGGGAACAGCCTCTTCAGCTAGCAGTTGCACTGAGGAATCGGTGTTGACTGTTACTGACCCACTGCTCACTGCATGCACACACACACACGCACACACACACACACACACACACACAAAAACACTAACTAAACATGCCCAGTGCATTTTGCTGTTTTATAACTAATGCAATGTGCATTATTGAATCCAGTGTGTAATTAATTATTATAAACTGTTTCACCTACACACAGATACCACTGTTTAGTCATATTAAAGCAAAAACATCATTCATTTGATCAGTGAGATCATTAAGTCAAAAACCTGTCCTCAGTTTTTATGTAATTTTATTAATAAAGCACAAACTTACCAAAGTATTTGGCAGATGAGCCATCGTCATTGAAGATTGTGACAACACCAGGCCTGAGCACCTGCAAGGTGGGTACGTGAGCAGGTAGGATACCAAATGCACCAGTGAGTGTGGGCACATCAACCTGTCTCACACTGGCCTCTTTGAAAAACACCTGGAGATAGAAAACAGGGGATGAGAGGTATAATCACTGGCATACAAAGACCCTGCAACAATTCAACATTAACAAATGCAGCTGCCAAAATATAAATTGCTAAATTCTTAATAGAACTGAGCGTTTCCAATAGCTATTACAATACGATAGGACCACTTTCCGTCACAGTTCCATTGACTTTAAATCAATGATCATGCGTCAGGTTTGATCGTTTAAATTAAATACATCAGTTCAGCAGCAGAATGTGAGGAACTGTGTAAAACTACTCTTTATTGTCGAGGTGCCTGTTAGCAGGGCGAGATATTACCACTGACATGAACGTGAAGGTTAGCAGGCTCTGCATTTGACACCCCTGCAAAGAAACTCTCACAATTTAAACTGAAGTCAACACCACACACTTAAATCAGAACGAAAACATGCACACAAATTTACTTTAAATTACAGGACTAGGAGACAGCAATGATTATATTATACCCTTTCGCGAATTAAACACTGCCGGTTAAATACAATGAATGACCAATAGTTTGGCTAACGTTAGCTAGATAGCAAGCTAACTCCCTGACAGTACAAGCTATAACTGAACTGTATGCGCGTAACAAACAAACCGTAACCAACAGCACATAATTGCTAAACGACTCCAGGGGAAAACTTCTCCGAAAACGGCGATGGTGTATTTCACTGAGAAACTAAGTTGGCCGTATGCTAGCCGGGCCCAAGATGCCTCGCCAATAATAACGTTAACATTAGCCAGCTAACGCTACCTGTGTCGGGGAGGCGAAAGTGAAGGACATTTGCGTAGGAACGGAAGCTGCCTCGGCGTAGGAGCGAGCATGCCTCAGCACAGGGAGAGCACAGCGGAGAAATCTTGCTGCCATCATATATGAAGATCAGATTTTATTCGAATACAAACGAATGACAGCAATCCCCAAACCCCTGCGTGAAGGCAGTCGATGTGCGCTTAGTAGGACAAGGACGTCGGTATCCTACCCATAAAGCTTTACGCTAGTGCAAAGCGTATAGGGTAATGTAGTCTTAAAGAAAAACGACCTTCAGTTAGGGAGGTTCAGGCAGGTAATGTGAATTGGTTGTGTGAATTTAGGGCGGTCATTATCATGTTGTTCGCAACATAGCCTATTACATTAAACCGTTCAGGGAACAACATTTAGGAAGGAGTCGTCCCTTTGGCAAGACTCTCATATAATTGCTGGTTTTCATACAGGAATCTATGAACATACACCGCCAGTAGATGGGGCCAAAATTATGTCTAATATGCTACACATGTTATAAAAGATAGACCCATCAGTCTAATTTCGCAAAAGGCTTGTGTTGCGTTTTTGTACGCCACTTGTATGGCGCTATTGACCTCCCCCATATACAGACTTTTCAGCCTGTACGGCTTCATCATTTCCACACTAGCAAGATATAGTGACTGCATAGCCTCCAGCGGTGGAAACAAGTAAATAAAAGAACACAAAAGATGCCTTACAGTTACTAGAATGTGTGTGACAAGAGGGAAATGTTATAGTGTACACTCTCGGTGAGTCTCCCGGCCTCTGACCCTGTCTGCAGCGTTGCTATAGCTGTGCAGACGGAGGATCAGATCATTTTGAGAAACCCTTCAGTCACTCAGCTTTACCGCACTCCTTCCGTCACGTGGTGTGCCTCTGACTGGGCGGTAGGTGTGTCTTAAACAGTGGGGTTTCATTCATAAATACCGTATGCTTTAAAATCCACCTCTGAAGCGTTCACAGAAGAGTTCCCATGCTCTTGGCTTTGCCCCGCCACCCCTGCATGGACCAGGCTAGCTGAGTAGGTGAGTGCTGCTCCCTTCGCTGCATGCCTCCTCGTCTGCTGGAGCAGCCACTCCAGATCGTGAGCTACATTCGCTGTCGGTGTCACCGGACTGATGAAAATCATATGCGTCTATGAAATACTGAAATGTTACATTTATAAACCTCGGTGTGCTTTTCAGAGTATATCAGGTTTTCTTCCATTTTTAAGTTCACTATCGTCATCACGTAAAGTAGGTGATCTTGCATTCTTGCAAGAGATTTTCAGCTAAAGCTCTACAAGGAAACAGCTGCTTGAGCCGATGCTCTTTATTTTGTTCCGGGGGAAATATTGCAGGAGCTACCAAGCACTGAGAAACGGGATGCAGCTACTCCTCATTATAAACAGATTATTACCAGATCGAAAATGAGCCATTACATGTCTGTGATGGTCTAATGAGGTAATCTATTGTGGCGATTTAAAAAATGGGACGAAATTTAAAGGGCTAATGGAAGCCACAAAGATAGACTGTATTACCAGTAATTCAGCTGGTATAGACAGAAATGTTGTTAAGCATGACGGGATATGTTACTGCTGGGACATCTGTGTCTCACCATCTGCTCAGTCTGCTAATCAATAGAGCAGTCTTAAAGGTTTGCATCCCCACAGAACAGAAGTAGGCTAGGCGTTGTGTTAAATATCATTTTATCACTTAGCTATTTTATAAATATGTTAGAATGTCCTTATATTGCTTGATGCTTAGTAAAGCAGAGCAAAAGCAGCGAGGTGTTATAAGGCTGTCATTTCTGCTGATGTGTTGATGAAAACAGCTGTGATAGATTTAGCTTTCTTAGTGTTGTCATAATCCTGCATGGAATATGTTCTGAAGTCTGGTTTGTCTCTCTCTCTCTCTCTCTCTCTCTTTTACCCAAAGAGCACTAAGAAATACAATGCTTCCTATGGTCATCATTACTGAAACAGACTAACTGTACAGGGAAGCCTTTCTCTGATGTGCATATGTTGAATGCAGACACTTGTGTCATGCAACACTTATCCACACAAACAACTTTTTGCTGTATGTTACGTTCACTATCAGCCATGCAGCACCGCCGTCTCATTGATCCAAGGCCGCTGGGCCAGCCCTGAGGGGGAACACTGCTGCTCAGGCTCAGGATGAGGATGCAGCAAGGGAGCTGAGGAGAAGACTCTTGAGCCACAACCTGACACACACATCCAGAGCAGCTGCTGCACACTGCCCTCCATTAGGGTAAGACTGCTTGGCTGGTAGAAAGCAGAATGTGGCAGGGCTGCACAGGAAAGCATTCTGGTCACAGCCTGATGTGTTTTTCTGTAACAGTTTTCATACTTGGACAATAGATCGAGGGAATTAGCTGGTAGCAAAGGCCTCTGCAATAGCTTACAGGTTGTGGTGCTGAAGTTCAGTTCTGCAGTGACTGGTAGGAGAGCAAGGAGTGCTGAGTGCTGCTGGTATGTCGCTTCTCCCCTTCTGGGTGAGTAGATCTATCCAGGGCGGGTATGGGAGTGTGTGGGTGTTTGGTGCAGCAGCAGCGGTATTAATGGTTATGATCTGTAAAAGCGAATGCATAGCAGCAGCAATAGTAGTGGAACTCAGCTGCTGGAGCCAGGGTTTAGTAAGAGCTGCTATTTTTCTCCATTCTATGTGTGTGTGTGTGTGTGTGTGTGTGTGTGTGTGTGTGTGTGTGTGTGTGTGTGACGCAGACAGAGAGTCTTGGGGTTTATAAGGAATTATGGGTGATTTACAGCTGAGATGTTAACATTTTCATCTTCTGTGGGATTGAGCGCATGCATACAAGCACAAGCCATACATGCATTTTGGCTTTTTCTTGCAGTCTTTCATGGCTGTTTGAGATACAACAAGATTTTTCTGCTGCAACAGACATCTTCTCATCTTCTATCATATTGTAAAATGTGACATAAATGTTAATTTACTATCAGCCTGTATTAATGGACCACACAGACACTGGAGTTCTATTTTACGTTTACATGTATCGGGTTGAGTTAAAACAGATAAAACGCAGCCTCTGCTGAGCTGACTGTGATTTGATGAACAGCTCCAGTAACAGTCATTTCCTCTGTGTGTTTGTTATCTCTCAGGGGGGCTCTCTATTTGGCCTGGACCATGAGCAATGAGTCTGCCGTCTGGAACATCCTACCAGAAAACTCCACGGTAAATTTGCGTTTCACCACTGGTTTGTTCTCATACTTACTGTGTGTGTCAGTGTGGCACCGTGTGCATATGTTATATTCAGCTCACCACCAGAACCATACTTTCGTTCATATTCTCTTCTGGCCAGTTGACTGGCTAATAGAGAACATCCTGACCTGGACATGTTATAATTAAATCTCAGATCTAATCTCATCTTTAATTTCCTTTTGCAGAGAAATTACAGTGTGACATCAGAGTCTAGCACTCATTAACACTTGCTTGTGTGAAACCTACTTGGAAAACACTAGTTTGCTATTATAATTTGATCAACAAGCATTATTCAACTATTTTTAAATGGAAAAATTAGAACACGGGAAGGCAATTCAGGAAAGTTTATTTATTTAAATCTGTACAATAAAGCCTGTGTTGGCGCTGTAAAAAGCATAAGCAAAATGTTCTTTGTATGTTGTGGTCCTGCAGCCTGTTACTGCCCTTTTGTAGTTTTGTAATTAACATTAATTACAAAAAAACAGGTGTTTATCATTTTTTTATGTGTCTTGTAAGTTTTTGTATGGCCAGGATTTCTTTTTTAAATTGAATATTTTATGGTTATTATCTGAATTGATATAACCACTTAATGTTTTTAGACCTTCTTTCATTTATTTGCTAATAAATCAAGTTTGGTTTTTAACATTAAAATGGGATTCCTAGCTAACAGCGAGCTACAAGTACTGAGCTGCTCTTTGTTTTAAGGACTTAAATGATTAGCATTAATACATAATACTGACAAATATATGCAGTAGTAGATCCCACTATACAATGTATGGCATACCGTATGTAAGCGACAGATGTCCGTCTGTTTTTTGTGCAAGTCTCTGTGGTGGTTTGAATACAGTTTTTTCAATAGGTGAGGAGGGAGAGATTTCAAGATGTCTTGGCCTCCTCTGATAAAACTAACTGAATATTATTGCTTAAAACAATAGAACCAAGGTACTATAGTCTTTACCAGTGCTCCTCGTGTGGTTAATTCAGGTTAACAGCCCCGGTATTTATTGATTAATTGCACCATTGTGTTTATAGATCCACTTTATGCAAAAATCAATCTTTTCGCTGCATGGTGTTAGTAAGAAGGCAAAGCAGGTGTACTGTAGATGTGTCAGGTATTTCATGTGTCAAACCACATGCCTGTGATTCACTTATACTGAACCTGTACAGTGCACTCTTCTGTACAATGCTGCATTTTTGGTGCACTCGTGACCAGTATGATTGTATGAATGTTACCATATGGCATTCCTTTACCTCCAGTTATGACCTGAAGTGAAACTTTGTATATTTCATATCTGGGCTAGGCAGTGAGAATAGGAGTAAGAGGAGAAAACTTTAATGGGGGTGGGTTTTATTTATTAATTTTTTATTTTTAATCTCTATTCGTCATTTCACAATGGCGCAGAATTAATGGTTTCAGTGGTTTGATGTTCATGTGGGAAGCTTATACTTGTGCTCTCTCTCACTCCTGAAGCAGCATATGTAATGTCCAGACTCAGCACAGGAATACAGCAACCTTTCTTCTTGTTATCTGTCTTCATTTCCCTCACTGTCTACTCACAAATTTGAGCTATATTATGGTGCAATCAGCATTTAACAAACAACCTACAGGCATCTATCTATCTATCTATCTATCTATCTATCTATCTACCTACCTACCTACCTTCCTACCTAAATGTATTTTTGTCCTCTTCTTTGTACCTCAGGAGATCCTGTTCGAGGCAGAGGAGCAGCAAGATGGCTTCATGTTCCTCCTGGTGATCCTCTCCATCTTCCTAGTTGGAGCACTGATCTTCATCGCTGTCCTCCTTATCGCCTGCCGCTGTTGCTGTCGAGGAGGGCACTGCTGTTCCAGGTGAGACACAGAAATTATGCATGACATTAAGCACTGAAGCACTGTGACATAAACGTAAGGGCTGATATTAAGGGTGGACTTAATATAAGCAGCAGCTGCTGCACAATGTAATATCAAGAGCAGTGTAATATATGATACCTTATTAAACCTGTGGTGTTCAGTTTTTTGTTGGCATTGTGCCACAGAGCTATTCATTCACCTCTGGCAGTTTTGAGGTGATAGAATATGGTGTTGTATTTTTATTTATTTATTTTTTTTGTTGTTTTTTTTATTAGAATGGCATGTTCTCCAGGTACAGTATATACGGTATAGAGAATGGATAGATGGATGGGTCATTGCAGTTGCATATTAAGCTAACCTCTTCAAGTGGAAACATCCTGTTTACTCTACCGAGTGAATCCTAAACCCATCTTCAGAATGATTCCATTAAGAGACAACAGTTACAGTAAAATAACAAAGGCTGTATTGCTGTAGTTGTCAGAGATAAATTATGTAATCCCACGGAGACTCATGTAAGCTAGTTAAAACAGGAGAGCACAGTGCAATCTCTCATTAAACATGTCCACTCAGTGTCAGTACCCCCTGTGGGGCTGTTATGAAAACACCTTGGTGGAAACACATTCAATATTCATGCACATTTATTTGTGATTCATCTGTGTTCATTCAGCAGAGCCGTGGCTCTATAAGATCACTTGTCCCTCTCTACAGCAGCATGCACCATCACATATGGCTGAATATACAGTATGAGGTTAGATGCAGATAAACAGAGCACAGAGGGTAAGGCATGAAAAGGCTAGGTTTGCTGGAGGAGAGCAAGAGGAGAATTGAGCAGACCAGTACAAATGATGAGTGTAATGAGATTTCATAGCAGCCATTGGCGGTGAGTAATCTTGTGTGTCAACCCAGTCCCGTGTGCACACAGCAAGTACATGCACGCACTTAGGCTCACACAGGGAAGCAGGAGCCACAGAGGAAATGAAAGACAAGAAGGAGCAAAGATGGGTAGATGGAGAAATCCTTCAAGCCACTTTACACCCACACACATACACACATACATAAGTACACATTAAAATCAAAGCTCTGCACAAAGAAATCAGACATAGAGAAATGACTGGGAAAAGCTTTCAGCTTCATTTTCTGCCTGGAAATCCTGGAAATGTGATTTAAGAAGGACTATTAGAAATGTGAAAATAGGAAGGTTTACAGAAAAAATACTAAAGAATAATAAACCCTTCACAACAATAAGACCTTTACCTTTGCTTCCTAAATTCTGCAGCAAAATATTAGATGCCTTTTCCCCTGTTTGCTTTATATAGGCTAATAAACCTGTCACTTTCTTCTGGTTGTGCCCCTGATTATCTGAAAAATGGCTGCAACAACCTCTGTTTCAAAAGTTTGATCTGGATCCAACACATCTAAGCTGTTACAACGCAAATCAATTTCTGGCTTTCATTGCTAAGATCCTTGAACAGACTGTGGCTATACAACAAAAAGTCACAAATAAAAAGTAAGAGAATGGATTACATTTTACGCTGGCTACCAGTTTGTTAAAAAGTTGATTTTAAGTTTTTACTTATGATCTTAAAAGCATTTTATGGACTGGCCCTTTAATTACTAGTGTCATACCAACTTGCACACAGTCTGAGGTCTTTGCAAAATTGCTCTGAGGCTTTTGTAACTTGATTTATTCCTGGTAAAGTGCCTCTCAAGTTGTATGTATATGTATGTGTAGATACATACCGTGCTGTGTTATACACATGTACAGTATGTATTCCACATAAATAAAATCACTCTCTAGATTTTGAAATGTGTTACAGTAACTTAACCTATTATTATTATCATTTTGCATTTTTGTGTTCTTAAAGATGATTGAAAGTCCCAAAAAGCTTTATCATTTTAAAAGGTCCCCCTCCATTAGGGTCCACATGGGCTGTTGATTTTACAGACAGGGACCCACTTAGACAAACAGCACAGTGAGCTTTCAGTCCTGTGAGTTTGTCCATGACCTGTGTGTGTATTTAAACTCACAGTGAACAAAAAGGTCAAACAGAGTAACAGAGGTGATCACTGTGGTCGCCTGTGTGGCTGCCCACATCAGCGGGATCCGAGAAATGAAAGGCAGACTTCAGGGATAATCATGGCACCGCATTGATCTGAATGTTTCTGTGTGCCCCAGGACTAGCGATGACCCAGAGAAAACCAACACCACCTACCTGGAGGAGTCTCGGCCCACCCATGGTAAGAGAAAAATAGACAAAGGGAGGGAGGGGGGAATAGAGGAAGAGTTAAATAGCCAAGTATCTGAAAGAGAGAGGAATAATAGTCATAAAGGGGGTGGGAGATGGAGGGATGGGATTGATGGAAGAAGGGATATTTTGATTCTTTCAGCACAAACGTGTAATGTCTATTCCATTATAATACTGTCATCTAACTACTACTGTACTACTGTGATGTAATGTCTATTCCATTATAATACTGTGATCTCAACCCAATTAGTTTAAGTAGTTGTGCCTCTCCTGGAACACATTTTGACATTTTGGGACCAGTGAATGTACTCTGTCTCCAGTGATAGTGATGTATTAAAAGACAGTATCAGTTTGGAACCAAACAACTTTTGTAAGGCATTTTGTTTTACCACGCCTTTCGCCCGCAGCTGGCTGGGATTGGCTCCAGCCCCCCGTGACCCCGTTTGGGACTAAGCGGTTTAGAAAATGGATAGATGGATGGATTTTGTTTTATATTCTTAAGTCAGCAGTTTGCCATGAATCAGTATGTTGATACTGATCCTCCACAAAGGTGTCTGAACATCAGCTGCTTCACTCTTGGGCAGACCTTTTAAAATGGGTTCTGGCCATTTTATGCATTTAACTACACAACTGAAAGATGACAGGAAATAAGGAGATATGGAATGATATACAATAAAGGTCCCTGCTGTACTAGAACTGGAGACGTGCTCTGAACCCCTAAGCCAACATTTCCACCCTAATTTAGATGTTTATAATAAATTAGAAATCATATTGCTTAGACCAGAGTGGGTATAGAACATGTGACAAAATCCTGACCTACTGTTGACTTACATAAAATATATTACTATCAATGAACAACAAATGATAAAATAAGTGCTCTTCTGTCTTTCTTTGTCATCACCTCCCATACCTACTTCATACTTTTCTCTACCTAATTATCTGTCACCTCTGTCTACTTCTTCCTTTGTATCTGTCATAGAAATCACCATCAGGGTGGATGAGTCAGACTGTCTGTCCATAGCCAGCTCTCACAATCAAGAGACAGAGCGCTTTCTCTCCACGGGCACGACAGGCCGGCGTGTCTCTTTCAATGAGGCTGCGCTCTTCGATCATGGCAAGAAGGCCCAGGAGAAGGGCCGCAGGTCAGAGCTCCTACACACAGAAGCCCACATCAAAGGCTATACAGTATTTTATTCTATCCATCTCAGCTGTATGTTAGTTTAGGGTTAAGAATGAATTAAAAAATAGTACATGTGCTCTGGACAAAGAGAGCTCTCATTATCTCAGTGCCCTGCTTTTCTCTAAAATGATTGAGCCTGATATGCAAATTCTTTAAAAGGAATTATTCTGTGGTGATAATGCAGAATCCTGACCAGGTGTGATGTATGTGCAAGGATAACTTTCAGGATTTACTTATCAAGAGTGTATGCAACATATATCTCATGTTGTACTGGTTTAATTGCTTTTAATTCTGTGTTGGCCTTCCCAGGTACACTCTGACCGAGGGTGACTTTCACCACCTGAAGAATGCCCGTCTCACACACCTCCATATCCCTCCCGCAGCCCTCAAGATAGTCACCATCCATGAATGCGACTCTGCTGAGAACACCATCACCATGACAACAAGACCTGTTGCTAAGTCAGCACTTGCCATCTTCCAGGTGACAACTTTGATCTGCTGTTAGTGCTGATGCATTATTAGTCCTGACTGGGGCCAAATATCATCAGACTCTCAGATCAGGGCAGCCTGATGTACTATAACATAGGCATCATGAATCTCTTTGCCTGTGCATTTCAACAGGCCCTTATTACTCATTTAGGTGAGGCTGTTTAGTAACTGAGGCTGGGGAGGGAATCTGGACATGATGTTGTAGTACTGCAGAATGTAGTTGTACAAGTATGCCTATTACTGATTGAATTTGGGGATGCTTTTTCAGATGGAAATTCCAGTTAATTATCTAGGGCTTATTAACTGGATCAATCAGCAGGGCTTTGCCAAAAAAAGTTCCAGGGATAAAAGTCTAATGTTGAGTTTGCTTCCTTTCAGCCAATGCTGTGCCCCCTACCACAAACAGCATTGACCAGCCTGAATGTCAGTCCCAGTGGTGCTCTCCCTGGAGATACTCTCAACTCTGTGGTGGACACCAGCTTCAGTGTTAACACTACAGCTCTCAGCACTAAGGAGCAAAGCTCCATCTCCGTAAGTTACTTCCAACTAGTATCTGCACTTAGGTCACACAGTGATCGTCTTTCAGAAACGTTTCACATAAAAAAAGTAGTAAGCAGTGAGTATGCATACAATTTACTTGTAAGAGCTCATGTTTTAAGAAACTAGGCATGACTCTAAGCAAGATCCAGGTCAACTTGATGTTTGTGGAGTTAATTATTTGTAGAGTGACATGTTTTCTTAAATCAGTTAGTCTTTACACCAGCCAGCCTGTCAACCAGTGAATCATCCATATGAATGTTAGAGGGTTACAGGGACAATAAGAGTGATGGTTGATGTGTAAACAAGGAAGTCCATATGGAACATCAGAGGGGATTATACTCAGATGTTCCTCTCTCTCTTCTCAAATCGAGATGGTGGGAGTAGGGCCCCGGGGCAGAGGCAGCAGTGTCAGTGTTGGAGAAGGGGCCGTGGTGAGGAGCAGTGCCCCTCCTGCTGGTGGTGGTGCCGGAAGCCAGGGGCCCATGTTGCAGTTTTTCACTAAACTGCGGCGCCATGCAAGTCTGGAAGGGGCTAGTCCCTACTTCAAGATTAAGAAATGGAAGCTGGACAGCAGCCAGAGAGCCTCCAGTCTGGACACCAGAGGTAATGGATCCTTGACGGTTTAAATTGTATTTCTGCTATATAATTTTTAGAAACAATTTTTGTCGGTCTAGCAAGATAATGAACCAGTTCTTTATGGTGCTCTCTCACAATCACAACAGAGAAACCAATAGTGCTGGAAAATTCTTTCTTAGGTGCATTATGTCTATTATTATTATTGTCAGGGTAAACAGACAGTGATTAAGCAGGGGGCTCCACCAACCAACTGTGACATGGCTCTTGGCTGCTAAAAGTCAGATATACACACAGACACACACATACAAGACAGATGGCTCACTGGTGCAAAATTTGGTTGTTCCAAGTCAGTTTGAGCTCTTCATTGATTATATACACACTTCTCCCTGCTCTTTCCCATGCTCACATAACAACAGACCAAAGAAAGATCACTAAATCCCCTCAGAAACCTCAACAACTGATTAATCAAGTGTCACTTCACTCCTGCTCGGTGTTACACAACATGTATAACTCAGTGCTCTTTCCTCATGCTCGGTGCGAGCCAGGCTCTCCAAAGAGGAGGCATTTCCAGCGCCAGCGAGCTGCCAGCGAGAGCATGGACCAGGACAACAACGACACACACCACACAGACCTCATTCAGTACATCGCTCGCACACAGGATGTGACCTACTGTCCCAGCCAGCCCACCACATGCATCCTCTCACCTCCTTCCACACCACCCCCTTCCCTCGGCAGGTATCTTTAATTCCCTTGCCATTCATCCTGTTCCACTGCTTTGCTGTCTTGCACTCATTTATTTACAGTAAACCTATGGCAATGATTTCCAATAGGCTACAGCTCCAAGTCTCAGTTCTCCACCACTTTGCCTTAACAAAACTATGCTCTTTTCACCAGGGTATAAAGGCAGTGTAGAACAATTCTAAGTGGTTGTTTTACCATTTGAAATGAGCAGGGATAGAGGATGACCAAATGGGAAATATTGTGTCAAGCAAATTTAACTGTAAATCATTGAAACTTTTGTTTAAAAATGGTTCTCTTGTCATCCTTAGACGAATTGCTTTGCTGTGACAAAACAGACCAAGTTAAATAACTGTAAATACAATCTAACCACAGTTGGATCTTGAGGTCCCTGTAAACAAGAGGTCTTTCAAAACCACTGTCATGATTTAAAGCCAGATGTAGGGGATTCCCAGAGTTCACATTTTTTAGAGAGTTAAGTGGAGAATTGGGACACGGGGTTTATATCTGGCATAGGAAAGAATTCCATCGCTGACATGGTTCAGTAATATCATGATGTCTGCAGAAGTGCAAGGGTCAGTGTGATTTTTTTTTTTAAGTTTGCAATATAGCAATAGAGAATCTGCAAGTATTGGGATTTTCAACAAAAATACCCAATCTCCTTAAGTATCTCCTTCCTTTATTTTCCTTCTAGGAATATTAGATTAAACAACAGCAGTATTTGCTGTGCATGTTAACACATGTTTGTTGTTGAAAATAACAGCAATTTCCGGAATGAGCTAAGAAATTTGATGATCCTCACACTCATTCACAGTTTATTGCTCCCGATATCACTCAAGTTATGTTCCAAGCAAGATATCATTTTTAAATGTATCCTCCCAAGTTAAAGCAGGGACATTTCTGAGCACTACCTTTGCAGCCATTGCCAGTCATAAAAATCATTCTGTGCAATGTGAACACAACCACGTCTCAGATGAATGTGTTATTTAGGTAAGTGTTCTGACACTTGATTTGTGTGTCTGTTTGTCCCTTTCCTTCTCTCCTTATTTCTTCTTCATCCCTGTGTTCACACTGCAGGGTAGAGGTCGAGGTGATGGTGGAGCCCAGCTGCAGCCATGGAGGACTAGGGGTGATTGGCCTATCCCCTGATCCCCAAGACGAAGCACTGTCCCTGGCAAGAAGGGAAGGTGCTGACCCTTTGGACCCCCTAGATCATCAGGACCCCCAGTCTCTTTACAGAGATATCTGGACCCTTCGTGCAACACTGGAACAGTACACCGCCTCTGACCAGAGTAGTAGCAATGACAGGAACTCTGTCTGCAGTGATGCTGACAGTGTGTGTTCGCTGGGCGGACGCACAGAGACAGAAAGAGGAACGCTCCCTAGCTACCCGTTCCAGGATTTAGGGGATGATGCAGAGGGTGGAGAGGATGACAAGGAATTTTTGGTGTATGTGGATGAGAAGTTGGGTGTAAAAGAGAGAAGAAAGAGGAAACAGGACAGCACAGAATCAGAGCGAGGGGGCAGTGATGGAGAAACGGGGACTCGTAAATTACTGCAGATGGACAGTGGCTATGCGTCAATAGACGCTCCAACAAGAGGTCCTGAAGACCTGCGACTGTTTGGGAGCAGCAGCATCAGTGGAAGTCCTACGGATAGAACAGCCCATGAGAAAAGGCACCACTTTACCAGTGCAGGGCGAACTGGTACTATTGGCGAGAGCTTTGAGTCTCATCTCTTTGAGGAGGAGCCGGAAGATGAGTTATTGATGGGTGCTAGTGGAGGAGTTTCCATAGAAACAGGTGCTGGTTCACTAAACTGGTTTCCATATGGTCAGATGCTTAAACCTCGAGAGGCTGCTCAGCCTTCACCTCAACCGCCAATCCTACATGTTCGGCGGGACTACAGCATAGATGAGAAGACAGATGCACTCTTCCATGAATTTCTCCGCCATGACCCTCAGTTTGACCAGCAGGAGTCACCGCTCAAGAAGCATCGGTCCCGAATACACCTCCGCAAGCAGTGGCAATGCCACAAGCAGTGGAGCGACCCCGGTGTTAGACACTTTCAATCCTCCTTTGAGAGACAGCGGACTCCACTACGGAGGGGTGAGAGTGTAAACTACCCACTGGACACAAGCTACCACAGCACGCTGCCCCGCATTGTTAGTGCTCCTGATGAGGATACCAGTGATGGGACTGGCAGCACACCTGGCACTCCAAAGGTCGAACCTACGACTACAGAGTATGGTGGCAAGGACAGGGAACAGGACGCCACTATCAGAGACATTGAGCACCTGACCTCATCTTCTCTACCACCCCTTCATCCCTCTGTCTCAGAGAAAGATGGAGGGCCGGTAGAACCCCTTGATATTCCAGAGGACAGCAAACAGTCTGGACTCCATTCTGAGCCCCCAGACGAGCGCTCGCCCCCTCAGCTGTCTGACTCCTCAGGCTACGGCCCACAAACCATCACAGAAGAGTTCACAGACAAACTGTCTGCTAACTTGGAAGAGAGGCTGTACATGGGCCTTCGCAGGACCAAGGACACAGCCACCGAGTGTGTGACGATGACAGCCACACATGCTTCTCCAGACCACAGCCCAGTGTAGCAGGGCTCCAGTTTTCCTCCTCGTCAACCTCACTCTTGCTGATACACACTTTTTCTTTCTGTTTCATTTGTCTTTCCTCAGTTTAAATCTCTCTCTGATTACAGCTTGAATGGTGTGATCCAGCCCCATGAAGAAACAGTGGAAAATATACTTTAAATCAGTCCATAATTAAACACACTTTTACTTACATATAATTGTATATACAGTTGATCCACTAGAAATGCATCCAGTCTGTTGTTTTGCCTGTTAGTAGTAGATGAACTCAGCTAACATATCAAAAATAATGGGTTTGTCCATTAATTTTATATTTCTATTTAGTCTCTGTTTTGCTGTCTCTACTTGCTGTCACTTCCATCTCTGCTCTCCAGTAAGAATAAGTGAAACTGAGGAGCAGGTATGGCCTCTATAACTGTTGATCCACTGTGAAACCAGGTGCTATTAGACAGGTAGAAAGCTACAGATGTGGACACAACAGTTACCTGCCAGTCCTGTGATCATGCGTTACTGGATATTAAATAGTTTTATCACCATCTTGAGATAAAAAGACTAGTTAGAATATATTAATACATCTATCAAAGCTATATGAAGCATACATTATCTTGATGTAGGCCTATTCTGGGATAATCTAGACCTAGAAATGTATAACAGAGACTAAAAGTGGAAGAGGTTACTCAATGTAACGTTATTCAGAATGGTTTTAAATCCATAGTTCCAAACCTCTGGGTCAGGATGTCCCAAGAGGTCACAAGATAAATTTAAAAGGTCAGCAGATGATTAAAGTAATACAAAAGAAAAAATATATTATATATTTTTGTGGCTTTTTTTTTTCATCAGCCAATCGCAAGCGATAAATCTGTCCCACCACTGTCCTTTAAGTCAGCATGGAAGCTTTGACATGGTTGCTAAGAGCAGTTAAAATTGTTCAGGTATTTAAATGAACAATGTCAACAGAAGGTTATTCATTTTCCTCTATGCTTTTTGTGGCCATATTTCTATTGTTGTTTTTCAGGGACGTAGCTACTGTATGTACTGTAGCTAGCTAGATATGAAAGAAGCTGTCCTCATATTTATTAACACTTACAAAGCTTTGTTTGGTCAACTGTTTCAGGTGTCTAGAGGTCTAAAGTTGACCAGGCTTTATTTAAGGAGCCACTGCCAAAATGTTTGGTAACCACTGGTCTAGATCAATGAACTGGGATAATGATAGCCAAAGTTTCACCCAGACATACTTATTTTGAATTGGAAACTATCCTTTAATTTTCCTCACTGAGTGTCTGACTGGCCATTATGTTTGATTGACTGAAAATGCTTTGCACTGTGTGGCAAGTGTCTTATATTTCTCTGGTATGATGATGACACTAATATTCAACTCCATGAGCTATGACTTTTAGTATTTTGGGCATCACTGACATGACATCTGCCCTAACACAGAGAACAGGCTCAGCCTAGTGCAGGTCCACAATCATAGGCAGGTCAGTTATATTAAAGTTATTAGACAAGATGGCTGCCCTAAAAGTCTGTTCTGTGAGCCTCGCCGAACAGACTTTATTTGTTCATGTCTGACATTCTTAGTTTTCCCTTCCTCTCCAGAGAAAGTTGACAGTGCATTAAATGCCTCCCTTGGGGGCCCAAGGATTTCACTTCCTGCCAGCATATAGAACTAGACTGAACAACGACGCTATTTGTACTTATTTTTTTCACTTATTTACCTTCCAATGTGCAATTAACACAAACTACTACTGCCATTCAAATGAAACCACATAAGGAGATTATGTGCTGTGGGCAACAAATAGCCAGCAAGTACTGGCTGGAATTAAGATGAAAGTTTTTGCTATTATGTCCTCAGCAGCACGTTGATTGTGATCCAGTTTCGCTCATGAAATCTTATTCTCACAGGAGCTGTCAGGCTTCCCACATGCAAAGAGGAGAGCCACTGCAGAAGATGGTGTTGAATATTAATCATAACAGGAGAAGGAAAGTGTTTTTATCTTATCTCCCTCTTTGTCACCATGCTGTAAATTGGAGGGAGTGAATAGAAAATCGGCGGGGGGGGACTATGATCTTCCTCTTTATTTGGGTGTGACAATGATGACCCTTTCCAGCCCCCCACATTAGATCCTTGTCTGCTGCATGACAGGAATCTCCTCTTGTGGCTAAGTGGACTCTGAGGAAGACTGCATTCCTCATTAAAAGAACAATGGCTGAGATGAAAGAAGATGAACTCAAATAACAAGAAGAGAAGGCAGTGGCTTCTTTTGTTCTGTGCTTTTTTTTTTCAGGGAGCTGCATCAACACACATACTGTCACCATGAAGAAACATAATGTTCTGTGCTCTGGCACAGCTTTGCGC